GAGATGCCTCCCTGCCAGGAGCAAGGCTAGAGGGGCACGTAGGGTGCCCTACAGTGAAGAGGCCCGGGGGAGATGACGGGTGGGGCCCAGGGGTGGATGTTATAATCCCAATGTGCACCCTTCCTTCTCTCTTTTATTTATGGATTGATTGACTTTAGAGAGAGAGGGGTGGAGAGAGACCGATGTGTCGTCCCACTTACTTATGCATCATTGGTGGATTCCTGTGTGCGCCCTGACTGGGTGTGGACCCCGTAACCTTGGTGTATCGGGACAGTGCTCTAACCAACTGAGCTACCTGGCCAGGGCTTTGGAGTTTTTAAAAAATATTTTATTTCCCCCAGAGTAAAAGTCCATTTGTTTGTTTGTTTGAGTTTGTCTAGAAAGGGAAAAATAATTTTTTTTAATTTTAAAATAATTTTTAAAGTTTATTCACATCCCCCCCACTCCCTCCCTGTGGCCACCGTCTGCTTGTTTTCTGTATCTGTGGGTGACATTCTTTCTATTTTACAAACACAAATGTCCAGTTCTCTCGACCTGTCAGATTGTCACGTGTCCTTTATTTTCCTGCCTACAAAGCGGCACAGGTCCCAGAACGGGTTGTCCTTTAACCTTCCTTTGTTTCTCATTTTTAAAGCAATATGTGTCCCTAGGGGGAAAAAATCAATTATAGAAATACATCACTTAGTCCCTGCACCTTCCCCCTCCACTTGTCACTCCTAAATTCAAAATGTGTATATTTTTAGCTTTTTTATGCATATTCTTATCTACTGTTTGCTTTCTGTGTATGTGTGTGCTAACCCGTACCTCCTGGATTTCTCCTGTTCTAAACCACTGTCATTGGTAAGCTACTCTTAACTGCCTCCTAGCAAAAAAATGCATTATCTGAGAAGGCAAGTCTTAATTTCAAAAATAATTTGAAGGTATTTGGTTCTTTAAAAATCAGAGAACTAGCCCTGGCCGGTGTGGCTCTGTTGGTTGGGACGTTGCCCTGTACACCACAAGGTTGTGGGTTCAATCCCTGGTCAGGGTGCGTGCAGAAGGCAGCCTCTCAATGTTCTCTTTCACATCAGTGTTTCTCTCTCCCTCTCTCTCTCTCTTCCCCTCTCTCTAAAAATCAACAAGCATATCCCTAGGTAAGGATTAAAAAAAGTCAACTAGAATGCATACATATATCGCTTTTTCTTTATTGATAATTGACATACAGAAAATGCTTGATGAGTTTTGATATATACCATTTTCTTTTTCTAAAAAAAACAAACAACATAAGACCATACTTTATACACTTTCCTGCAAGTCGCTTTTGATACTGAGCAATACACCTCGGGCACCTTTGTCCGTCTAGCAGCGCCCAGCACCCCATCATTTATTTCCCCAGCCCCGCTGGCGGACGCTCGGCTGTGTCCAGTTCTTTGCTGTTGCAAACAGCTCAGTGGATCTCCTTGTGCGTCTGCCTTGGTGCCCTTGGGGGAGACTGTCACGGGTGGATTGCTATTGATGTCCGAGCGCGATCGATTCCGAGGGCTTCGCGTGGGGCGTCCGGGAGATGTGGGCCCTGTTCTCAGAAGGACGCCCCCCCGCCCGTGTTTACCCTTATGGTCCTGACCAGGGACCCCCGCCCCCAAAGGTGAGGGATTCTGGGCAGAGCCCAGTCCACTCCCTTCCTCAGCTTCCAGTTTTGTACCCAGGTGAAATCGAACCCACTGGGTCCGGGCACCTCAGGGGTTCGCATTTATCAGAGGGAGGCCAGCTCTGCTCTGGGCTCTTTGGGCTCCGGGGTGCTCTGGTGAGTGGGTGGATGTGGCCCCCACTCTGAGGCTGACGTTCTGTGGAGGGGGCAGCAGCCAAGGGGACAAACAGATGATGCAGGAAAGTCACGTAGCCGCTTCTCAAAGCCTCACGTGGCTCACAGACGGGGCGGTGGGGACATCCTTAGGTGCCCTACCTCACACACGGCCCTCCCGGCTCCGGCTGGAAAGGGGGGAATTTCTCTGTGGGAGAGCACCCATCATTCCTATGCCTTGTCCGGTCTGCAGAGAAGTATGTTCCTCTCCCTTCATAGACCCAGAAAGGTCCTGGGATTAGTGATTTCACAAGTAGAAAATCCCAGATTTTGTGGAGGCAGCAATGATTAGTGAAAAGAGCACGTGATGAGGGGTTAGAAAAGTCTGGATTGACAGCCGGTGTGGCTCAGAGGTTGAGCATCGACCTAGGAGCTGGGAGATCGAGGCTCGATTCCTGGTCAGGGCACGTGCCCGGGTTGCGGGCTCGATCCCCAGCAGGGGCCGTGCAGGGGGCAGCCGATCCATGACTCTGTCTCATCATTGATGTTTCTCTCTCTCTCTCTTTCCCTCTCCTTCCTCTCTCTGAAGTCAATAAGAATATATTTAAAAAAACAAAAGTCTGGGTTGAAGTCCCAGCTATGGCTGGCTGAATAATGGCTCTCCAAAGATGTCCATGTCCTAATTCCCTAATTCAGGGAAAAGAGTGCATATGTAAGCAATACGAATGTAAGGAATCCATTCTCCACTTGAGCTTCATTGATTTTGAGAGGAGTGGGGGAGAGAAGCATCGATCGGTTGCCTCCCATATGCGCCCCAAACAGGCAATGCCCTAACCAACTGAGCCACCCGGCCAGGGCTCCTCTGTGCCTTTTTATTTGCCAATATATTATGGAGCTCTACCTATAGGAGGGGATACAGAGATAACTCATTTGTTTCAAAAATCTATGTAGAATACCATTGTTCGGATATACCCCAATTTATTTAACTAGTTTTCTATTCAAAGGCATCCAGACTGTTCTTACTATTTTGCTCTTACAACTCTGCAGCGAGTAACCCTGCACATACAACATTTTGCACAAGTCCAAACACCTCCACAGGATACATTTCCAGGAGAACTGCCGTGTCAAAGAACATCGGCAGCATTTATAATTTTGATAGGTGTTGTCAAATTACGCACGCAGGAGCGCTGCCCCCAGCAGGGCTTGGGGATGCCTGGCTCCCCACGGCCTCCCGGCGAAGCTTGCTATTAACCTTTTGGATTTTTGCCAATCTGCCGGGGGGAAAAACGGCATCTCAGTGTAGCTTTCATTTGCATTTCTCCCTTTTTGGAGCGAGATCGAGCATCTTTGCAGATGCCGAAGAGTCATTTGCCTTTTCTTTCCGATGAGCCGTCTATTCATTACCCTCTAACCACTTTCCCATTAGATTGTCTTTTCATTGATTCCCTGACTAAGTATTTGCTGAATGAATAAATGAATGAATGAAATAAAGTGAATGAAATAGGGGGCCCTGAAGACCCTGGTTCCACATCCCAAAGAAAACCCAGCAGGGGCAAGAAGGGGTTTGTCCTGGCTGCGGTTTGTTCATTGTGCTCTTTGATAAAAAGCCCAGGGCCTCAATTCAATGTCATGCTTGGGGGACAGCTCGCCAAGAGGCTGAGGTGATGAGGTCCAGGGGAGCAGCCTCCCGGGGCAAAGGACTGAGAATATCCGGAGGCCTGTCTCGGTCCTTAGCGGGGTACTCGGGGGCTGGAGCAGGGTGGGACTGTGTGGTCCCCAGGGCTCAGAAGACCTCATTCCTTCTCTGAGATGGGGGTCGGGTGTGGACTTATGTAATTTAGACACTAGATGAGCAGGTGGCAGGTCGGCACTGGAGCACGACTCTTAAGGAGGTGAATCTTGGTTCGCCTGGATGGAAGGCGTATCGGACTCAGCTGAGGCACTGCCCATGGGCCACACGCCTGCCTTGCTCGGCCAGAGTGGGCTCAGCATCAGTTCTCACGCTCTTGGAGACGCTGGCTGTTTCTACCTGCCCTGCTGTTGGCCTTCCTGCTGGGGCAGGCGTCCTGGTCCCTCGAGGGACCAGAGGCACCAGGCATTCAGCCACCTGTGTGAAGTCAGCAAATGTGGGGAGCGGACACCCTGCCGGGGGGAACTTGACTCGTGGGAGGTGAGAGCCGGTGGGTAAATCATTTGCGCCCGAGGTGGATGGTTGGAAGGCGCAGCCTCTCCGAAGCCCGCCCCAGCTGCAGCAGCTCCACGATGCACCTCCTTCAGTTTCCTCCTCCGACCCTGCTCCCGAAGACCGGGGCGCGCGCTTCTGGCCAGGCCGTTTGCTCGGGGACTCTGGCTAAGGCAGAGAGAGTAAACTCATTTCCCTCCAGAGGCGTGGTGGGCTCTGTAGCTGTTCTATGAGACGCCTAGGTCCTAAAAGCAAAATTTGGTTGTAATGCTTTAAACTTCAATACAGCATTTTTCACCTCCAAGAAAAAGAAGGAGCTGAGACTTTGGATGTTTAGGTTAGTAAATGATGGAGCTGGGCTTTCAAGGCGACTCCGCTCAGCTCCACACAGGTACGCGCATGATTCCCAGGATGCATGTGTGCGTGTGTGCGTGTGTGCGTGTGCGTGTGTGTGTGTCTCCTTTCAGTTACTCGGTGACTGTCCTGGCGTGCATGTCTGTGTAGGACACAACTTAAGACGCTCGCTGTCCTGCTCGGAGAGGGTTGCGTCTCAGCGCACGTCCGTGGCCTTTGTCATCTGAGCAGCATTTGCTGCCTGGGATGGATGAACCATGTCCTTCCTGAGATCCTTCACTGAGAACTGTCAGGCTGCCTCCTGCCTCCTGCTGTGCCTTTGTAATTAGACAGTGTCGCCTGATGGATGAAGAGAGGATGGGCAGGCAAAGGACTTGCCCAAGGTCATGCAGCTCTTTGGTGGCAAAGCTGGGATTGGGACGTAGGTCTTCTGACCCTGGACCACCTGTTAAAGGTCCCTTCACAAAGCTAGAGGCACGTTGGGGACAGGAGGGGGCATGGCACTAAATCCCAAAAGGCCAGTTTGGGGGATGGGTGTAGACGAACCCCTTGCACCTGGGTGGTGTCTCATACGATCCTTCTCTTAATCCTCTGCCAGGGCCACAGCCACCGACGCTCCTCCTCCAGTGCCCACTGGGTCTCTCTGCTCCTCTCCAGCCCCGCAGCTCCGCAAGCCCCAGGACACCTCCCTCCCAGGACAGGTAAGTCATTGATCAGCTCTGAAAAGCAGCGGGGAGCAGCGCCTATTTAAGGAAGCGTGTTTCCAGTGCTGAGTCACGTCGGGCTGGCCCAGCTGGCCGGTGTCTGGGCCTCGGGGATGCTCACGGCGCAGCAGCCACCGCAGCCTGGCTCGGACGTTGGCAACCACCCCAAAGAGGCTCCGAGCTGAAGTGCCTCCTTTCATAAGATAAAACATGACACCCAGAGCCCCCTGCGTCTCCAGATTTTAAGCCTCAGGCATTCTCACTGCCTCCCCCACTGACCACTGCTCTTTATCATAATGGCCATCAGTCAGTCAAATTGCTGTCGCTGAGGCTGGGTTTAAATTCCAGCTCTGCCGCTTACTAGCTGTGTGACCTTGGGCAAGTTGCATAGACTCTCTGAGCCTCAGTGCACTGATTTGTAAAATGGGGTTCATAGCTACCTTGCAGGGTGTAGGGGAGATGAATACAGCAATATATGGGAAGCCCAGATCACAGTACCTGGCAAGGTAGTAAGCATTCAACAACTGATATCAAATTAACTTAAATTAATTGAGCACTATGTGAGGCATGGTAGAAGAATACTAGGCACAGTGAGCTGTACCGGCTTTCATGAAAGTTGTTTAAAAAAGACATGAACTTGTGAAGTTGTAATGAACAGGTCTGAACGATGCTACGTTCGGAGAGTTACTGAGAATCTACTTTGGTCCCGGCACCGACTTAGGCTCTGGGGAGACGTGCAGACACTGACTTACAGTGTTCAGAGTTCTCAGCTGTGGTTAAGTGGCATGGAACCCATGTGGACGAGCAGCTAATTCCCACCCCCTTGCTCTTCGTGGTCCCTTGAACATGCCACCTTCTTTCCCGCTTCCCCTTGCAAGCCCCACTTCCTCGGCCTTCCCTCACCTGACCAGTCAAGGTCTTTTCATCGCAAAGGACAGAAACCCAACAGAAAGTGGCCAAAGCAACAACAACAACAATAACAAGAGTTGACTTGTTCAAACAACTGAAGGATCTAATAAGTTGGCCTCAGGTACGGCTGGATCCAGGGACTCAAGTGACCTCATCAGGACAATCTCTTTCCCTCGGACCGGTTTCTCCCTGTGTTGGCTTAGTTCCTCAGAACATTCATTCCTGCTAGTGGCAAGGTGGCCACCAACAGTTTAGACTGAGCTCCATCCATTGCGACAACGCCGGGGGAAAGGAGCTCCTGCTATTTAAGGGTCCCCCGAGAGAGTGTAGGGTTGCCTGTCATTGGGCCATGTTCAGTCACGTGTCCATCCTTGATCCAGTTGCTGTGGCCGGGGAGAGGGACCTTGTTCCATCTCAGTTCGGGTAAACTTGCCTCGCTCAGTCCCCTGGTTGCTTAATATTCTGTAATAATAAGGACGGGTGTCCCATAATTCATTTCCCCAGTCTCCTATGGATGGACACTTATATTGCTTCCAATCTTATGTTACTACAAACAGTGCTGCAATGAATATTCTTTTACAGCCGTCTTTGAGCACGCGTGTGAATAAATCTGTAAGAAGTTCCTGGAATTGCTGAGTCAAAGGTGCATGTGTTTAAAATATTGATAAGGCCTGCAAATGGCCACTAATGGAGCCGCATTCATTCCCGAGCTCGCTAATAGGACTTGCGAGTGCTCATTTCCCCACACGCTCATCAGCATAATGTGTTATATTTTTTATCTTGAAAACACTTTCTTCTAGTTAGGGCTTCAGCAATATTTTTCAAACCCAGATGTGAGATGTATTTAGTACATTGCAAAGCCAATTTAGTGGGTGGGATTCAGCACAGAACAGAACAGAACCTATCAGAGAACATCATTGTGACAAAGCCAAGTGCTGCTTGTGAAACTCTAGCTTCGGTCACCTATTTGCGTGCTCGTGTGTATGAACGGGGTTGTGATGTGAAACGTAGATCTTACCAGGGGTCTGGGTCTAAAGAGTTTGAAAAGTTCCTCCTCCCCTTTCATTTCTGCTCCTGTCCTCGGAGGAGGAAACCGTTCTGATGCAAATCCAGCCCACCCTGCGGCACCCAACCCCACCTCGCCCCCTGCCAGGTGCAGACAGCTTCTCAGAGGGCCTCCGGGAGGAATGCTGAGCGCTTTGTTTCACACAGCGGGAGCTGTCGCATTGAGGGCAGATGTGTCTTCGTGCTGAGGGGCTGTCCTGTGCATGTCAGGCCACTTAGACTCCTTGGCCCCAGACTCTCCTGGCCGGGAGCATCTTCCTAGTCACCACATTGCAAAAAATGGCCTTGCTCGCTTTTCTAAGCTCCCCCTAGGAGGCGCTGTCCCTTCCCAATGGAAAGCCTCGCAGCTGAGCTGGGTCATGGAAGCAATGGCTATAGTTGTACTTTAACAACCTTTTGTCTCAATCATTTTTGCTTTAAAAAGTCCTTCTGACCTCAGAGTCTTCAAATTTGCTATGTCCCCTGTTTGGAACATTAAGCCCCCATCTCCTCTACACACACACACACACACACACACACACACACGCACATAGCTTGGCCATTTCCCCCACTCATCCTTCAGGTCCAGGCGTCACTCGTTTCGGGCGGCCTCCTGTTAGAAACTCTCTCTCCACGATCACCGTGCCTTCCTGTTTCTCCTTACTGTGTAAACGACCTGACCCTCCATCTAGTGTTTATGCTCCTCCCTGAGGGCAGAGACACCAGCTGTCCCACCCCCAGGTGCATCCTGAGTGTGATGTCTACTGTCTAGGAAGCACTCCCTAGATATTTCTAGAAGGAGTCATTCATATATGTTCTCATTTAGTATCAGAAGAGGTACGGATGGACCAGTGCCCATTTCCTAAGGGAGCTAAATAAGCCTTCTTCCTTTGGCGACGGCGGCTCTTTGCTGTCTGTGAAATGACAGGAAATTCTGATGAATTGTCCCAGACAGGCATATCAGTCAGGGCCCTGGCAGGCACAGAGACACACTCGACCCAGGAAATCTGCACAGCAGGAAGGGGCTGTTTACCAAGAGAGGAAGTAGACATTGCAAGGCCCCTTGCAGCCCAGGCTCCTGGCCAAAGCAGGACACAGGCCCACACAGTGCAAGGTGTGGAGAAATTGGCCATCGCGTGGGGGACAGAGCTGCAAGAGCACATGGCTTTGTCGAGCCACATTGCAAGGGCTGTGGGTACTGGGAGAGGCAGAGGTAGGGTCATTTTTGCAGCCAGCCACGCTCATCTCATTATGTGGAGATCGCATTAGCACTTACTTCTTGGACTTCCTGTGAGAATTCAGCGAGATCGTGCACACAAAGCAGCGACTGGAGCCAGGCTCGTGAGGTGCTCAGCAAATCTTAGCCATTGCTGCTGCCGTCATTGTGATCATTAACATTATCATTATGATTGATCCGAGTCCTCCCCAGCCCTCAGAGTCTGCTCAGTGCAGGCCTTAGGTTCAGGTCCCCTCGTCACATCTGCTCCCGCACGCCCGATGGCCTTCCCTCTTAATAAAGGAGCAAGTCAGTTTGTGGAAAAACCTCCGTGATTTCGCGAACACAGATGCCACAGCGTGTTAGCGTCCTCTGACCACTAGCTGTCAAGGCAGCCAGAGCAGAGATCTATTTAAAGACCACGGAGATGCCTTTGCCTTTTGCCGTCAAAGCCAGGCGAGGGATAGAGACACATCTGAACAGGAGGGTCCTGATAGGAGACAGACCTTCCCGCTTGCCATCTGCCTTGACTCAGGACCGGGGAAGTCATTGCCTAGTGAAGTTTGGTCATCGTGTGTTCATTAAGGATGCCTCCAGCTAAACGTTAATGGCGTATTTTTATTTCCAAAGGAGAGAAATGGAACCTGGAATTGGAGGTGCCTCACCGGCTACAATGTTGCTAAATTCTATAGTCCCACTGACAGTGCCTCAGCTGGCTGAGGGCTCTTGATATTGAGCTAAGAGAAAAGAGATCAAGGCGTCTTGGCTTTGTTGGGCTCTTCTTTATGGCCGGCTCTTGTTTATTGCGGAGCAAAGAATGGCCAAGATGCTTTTCACCTTGTAGGATTAACCTCGACAGCCGTCACTATTACCTGTCTGACATCAGCTCTTCTTCCAGGTAGGAGGCACCAGCATTTGCAAAACAGAATCTCCGCGTAGGAAAAAGAGTAGAGTGAATTTATTGATAGAAATCCCCGTGAATTTTAATTTTTGAAAAGAGGGGAAATACCTTCTTTTGATCCCATCTCCAAACAGAAGCAAAGCCGGCGATGAAATGTGTTTGTGATTCATCAGAAAGCAGATGGATTTTATCTCTCTTATTTTTAGAAGGTGGCTGTCTAGGTACTGGGCTCTGGCGAACAGCACAGGGGTTATATTTGGAAATCCTAATTGGGAGAGGCTTTCTGTAAAAAGCAGCCTAAAGCCAAACCGACTCCCACGGATGCTTCCTTGGTTCTCTCTTTTTTATCTTCAATCCTTCTGACACCCTGAAAGTCATTCACACATAGAATGAAAGGAATCTGTTTTGCCCATCCTTGATGTTTACGTGACTTTGTAGTTCTGCTCCAGAAGCCGCAATCTCATCCTCTGGCCGACACTTAGAAAAATGGTGTCAGAAGAAAATTATGAATTTATTATTATTTTTAGTTGAAACGCTCAACTCAAATAGGCTAAAGCAAAAATAAAATAAAAGGAATGTATTCACTGACATTATGGAAAAGTGCAGGAGCTTCAGGCATGGCTGGATCCAGGGGCTCAAATAATGGCAGAAATCATTTTCTTACAACACTCTCTATTTTGCAGAAACTTCAGTCTCAGGCTGGGGGTTGGCAAAGATGACCCTCATCAGCTCCAGGCTTACATTTTACCAGCTTAGAAACCCCAGTCTGAAAGGTATACCTCCTTCTTAGAAGCACTAGCAGAAGTTTCAGATAGGGATCTTACGGGCTTGCATCAGTTACATGCCTTTCTTGGTACCAAACAGTGTCGCCAGGGGCGTGAAATAGATGGATTGGTTTGGTGTGGGCACATGCCAGCCCCTGGAGCA